CCTTCCCCACTATAATCAAATCTCATGTGCTGTTGTCAGGCTGTCGGTTTCCTGATCTGCTTGACCCTCATACGTCAAATTCGACGGGAGAGTCAGTATATATATATATATATATATAAATATATATATATATATATATATATATATATATATATATATATATATGCGGGACGGTGGAGTAAAGGAAGCATGGTGTTGTAATAGATAGCGCCTTGGATTGAGGAATCAGAGAGCAGAGTTCGAATTCCAGTCGAATTCATTACATTCACTTACGTGCTAATACCCTTGCGAAAGGTGTGAATCAACTTCTTCTCCCTCCAGCTATGGTTAAAGAGCAAGACAGGCTGGGTTCTATAGCTTTGGATGGCAACTTGTCTGCGGAGGGTCGTTTGGGGACCTTGTGGCACTTAGTGCACCAGGTCTCTGTATTCGGTCCTTCAAAAAGTGTGGATGGTCCTGCACAAAACCTTCACCACTATAATCAAATCTCATGTGCCGGTGTCGGGCTGTCGGTTTCGTAGGAACTGATCTGCTTGACCCTCATACGTCGAATTCGACGGGGAGAGCCGAGAGAGAGAGAATATATATATATATATATATATATATATATATATGCATAGCCGAGGGGGAAAGAAGAAAAAGAAAGAAAATGAATCGAGAGAAGAAAATGATGAAAAGCAAAATAACACAAAATTCTACACATTTTTCCATACATACACGTACGCTCGTACACATACTCACTTGTGAATACACACGCATACACAGACACGCACACAAGTAATAAATCATCAACGTTTCGTCTCTAGCATCTCGTGATGTATCGACAATTCTAAGATCCCCACGCCGAATGACAGACTCAGAGAAAAAATGTATTTGCTGTTGTTTTTTATTTCGATGGGGAAACAGAATCCTTGTATATCTCTTGGGAGAAGCGAGAAGGAACAGGAAATAGAGAGGCTAATAACAAAAGATTTGGCCAAATATCCATCGCCACGTGGTGATAGAGAACTGATAATTGACTATAAATCAAATAGTAAATGATATTAGCATATCCCGTAAGAGATGTGAAAATATTCCACGGAATAAACTTGGAATGACGATGGTTCCTGTTCGGTGGGTGCCACGTCCTCTGAAACAAGGTCAAATGCGCACCAGGCTGATCATACCACGGGAAAATCTAACATTGTTTTAGGCAGATTCCATTGGTTTCATTGAGCGCTTCGTAACACAGGATAAATGCCGGGTTCATCACTTTGAGTTAGAGACAAAGAAACAATCCATGCAATAGAAGCATCCTTCTTGTTTTTCTCCAAAGAAGGCCAAGGTCATTTCATCTGCAGGGAAGGTGATGGCCTCATTTGTTTGGGATGGAAAAGGCATTGTGCTTATTGACTATTTTCAAAAGAGCAATGGAGGATAATATTGTCAACTTTCTGAGACAAGTTACGAAAGGCTGTCAAGAACAAACACCCAGGAAAAATGACAAAAGTTGTCTTGTTTCATCAAGACAATGCTCCAGCAAATAACATCCTTGGTTTCAATGGCTGCTGTTCGTGACTGTGACTTTGAACTGGTTAATCACGCAACTTATCGATCAACCCAATTGCCACGTCATTTCTAAAAAAAAGTACCCACCGAAGCAAATCGAGCTGAGAAGGACTAAGCAGGAGTCGTTCACCATTGAGCTAGTGCGATAAATAAAGATTTGGAACAAGAGATGAACAGTGTGATAGTGAGAGAAAAAAAACTGAAAAGATATAAACAAACTTTGAGAGATATAGATAAATAGACAGACATGAATAGAGATAGATAGATAGATACATAGATAGATAGATAGATTGAAGAATGAGATAGATGTGAACAAACTGTGATAGATAGACAGACAGACATGAATATAGATAGATAGTTAGATAGATAGATATGAACAGAATGAGATAGATAGATAGATAGATAGATAGATAGATAGATAGATAGATATGAAAAAGACTGAGATAGATAGATAGATAGATAGATAGATAGATATGGAAGAATGAGATAGATATGAACAAACTGTGATAGATAGACAGACATGAATATAGATAGATAGATAGATAGATATGAACAGAATGAGATAGACAGATAGATAGATAGATAGATAGATAGATAGATAGATAGATAGATAGATATGAACAGAATGAGATAGATAGATAGATAGATAGATAGATAGATAGATAGATAGATAGATAGATATGAACAGAATGAGATAGATAGATAGATAGATAGATAGATAGAAGAATGAGATAGATGTGAACAAACTGTGATAGATAGACAGACAAACATGAATATAGATAGATAGATAGATAGATAGATATGAACAGAATGAGATAGATAGATAGATAGATAGATAGATAGATAGATAGATAGATATGAAAAAGACTGAGATAGATAGATAGATAGATAGATAGATAGATAGATATGGAAGAATGAGATAGATATGAACAAACTGTGATAGATAGACAGACATGAATATAGATAGATAGATAGATAGATATGAACAGAATGAGATAGATAGATAGATAGATAGATAGATAGATAGATAGATAGATAGATAGATATGAACAGAATGAGATAGATAGATAGATAGATAGATAGATAGATAGAAGAAAGAGATAGATGTGAACAAACTGTGATAGATAGACAGACAAACATGAATATAGATAGATAGTTAGATAGATAGATATGAACAGAATGAGATAGATAGATAGATAGATAGATAGATAGATAGATAGATAGATAGATATGAAAAAGACTGAGATAGATAGATAGATAGATAGATAGATAGATAGATAGATAGATATGGAAAAATGAGATAGATATGAACAAACTGTGATAGATAGACAGACATGAAGATAGATAGATAGATAGATAGATAGATAGATAGAATGAACAAGCTGGGATAGATAGATAGATAGATAGATAGATAGATAGATAGATAGATAGATAGATAGATAATCTTCTTTGATGGGCTTGAAAGGATTTTTTAATCCTTCAATTCACCGAGAAATAAGTTAATATCCAGTTAATTAGACAGAATCCTACTAGTGCTACGCACATTTCTATCGAGCAACTCCCAACCGCTTTGCCCAATGATTTGGTAAGTGTCGATATGCAATTACAAATAAATACGGGACGAAAAATATGGCGTTGTCAGAGTGACGACTTCGACAACAAATGGAATTTCATGAGTGCTAACATGTCGGGTCAGCTCGGTCAGTTCGTCTTTCATGAATAAATTCGCTGATATTGTTCATCAAAATGGTGAGAGTCAGTTTTGAACGGGTCCAGACCGCACGATTGGATGTCAGTCAAAATCATACAGAAAGGAGACAGTTTAATAGCAATGCTTTTCATTTTGCTCGCTTGTGGAGCGGTCATGGAGAGTAAATAAGTACCCGGATGTGGCGACTCATTGGATGATATGCGCATGCGTGTTCCAACCGCCGACAATCAACACAGGTTTACATGTAAACATATCAATTTCCAATAGATATCTGTGTGTGTATGTGTGCGTGTACCTGTCTGTATGTTTGCGTGTATATGCGTGCATGTGTGTGTATGTGTGTTTATGTGGGCATCTGTGTATGTGCATATATGTGTGTATGAGTTTGTGTATGTGTTTATGAGTGTGTGTGTATGTGTGTACGTACCTGTATATGCCTATGAGTGTGTGCATGTGTGTATGCATGTGTATATGTGTATGTATGTGTATATGAGTGTGTGTATGTGTGCTTATGTGTACGTGTATGTGTATATGTGTGCATCAGTGCGTATATGTGTGTATGCATATGTGTATGAGTGTGTGTATACACGTCTATATATGTATGTATGTGTCTATAAGTGTGTGTATGTGTGTATGCATGTGTATATGTGTATGTATGTGTCTATGAGTGTGTGTTTGTATGTGTACGTGTATGTGTGCGTGTATGTGTATATGCGTGTATCATTGCGTGTATATGTGCATGCATGTGTGCATGTGTGAATATGTGTGTATGTATGCGTGTGTATGTGTGTGTGTTCGTGTATGTGTGTGTAAGTGCGTATATGTGTGTATGTGTATGTATGTGTGTGTATGTATGTATGCATGCGTGTGTGTGTGCTTTTGAAACCGCAGTGTTTCATTTCTATTGCTATGTTTCAAGTTTGATACAAAAGATATCAGTCAATGTGTGTCGTAATGTTTTTGGCTGTTCTGGATTCGTTTCGATCCTTGCAAACTTCGTCCGCACACTAGAAAAGACACATGACTGTTGACAACCAGGTTTTTTACGGTTTATCAACCATTTGCAGGTTATTTAAAGCCAGAAAATATATTTAGGTTCTAAGTATTGTGTTTATTTTTTAGATAATAAAAAGTGTGCGTCTTCCAAGACGAATGTAAAGTAACGCCCAGGCTCAAGCAAGCTTGGACGGTCACCTAATTGGTTTGATTGGTAGGGACGTGGATTTTTATGTTGAGTCATTACACTATAATGCTATCTATTTATATAATTCAACCTTTTATATGATGTAACCCCGGTATTTGAGCTGTAACAAGTATTTCCAAGACTATGAACCTTCCTGGAGCCGAGCCACAAACTTAAACAAGCTCTGTTTACTAGCAGCAGCAGGAGCCTTTTTGCTTTTGACTCGTATGTCATTGCTATACAAACAAAAACGGTCGAGTGATTAGTGTAAACAATACGTGGCGCCAATTTGTAAGGAGCGTATGGTGAATGTGTTGTTGTATGAGAATGACTTTTTTTTTCTTGGAAATTTCTTTCCAATATTAGGGTGCGTCTTCCGAGTTACGGCGTCATTTTAGCCGGAAAATACGATAAATGATACACGTCTTACTAATTAACCTATAGCGGGGGGGGAGAAGAAGTGAATTCATACCTTTCGCAAAGGTATTTGCGCTTAAGTGAATATAACGAACATAAATATAATTGAAATTCCATTTCCTCACCCAGACATCGAAGCTCACGGTATCTGGTATGACCAAGCGGTCACCCATCTAGGTACTGACTGGGTTCAATGTTGCTTAACTTCGGTGATCATACGAGAACAGGTATTTCAATGCGATATAGTTGTAAGACTAGGAAACAACGTTAATCCATCTAGGGGAAGTATTATGAAGAACTCGACCAGTGGTTCTCAACCGGGGTCTACATGGACCCTAGGGGTCCATGTAATATTTCCGGGGGTCCACAGGCAAAACTCAATTGTTGTGTTAATTAAAATAGTAATAATAATTATTATTATAATTATAGTAGAATATTTTATTTGTATTAAATTAGTTTTCATTTAAAAATAAAGCTTAATCGTATACTATTTCTTTGATAATTAAAACCTTAAAATTTATATTAGTGAAGAATAGAAAATTGTTCTTATGTCCAATAGCTATGAAGGGGTCCACTAAGATAAAAAGAAGGGGAAAGGGGTCCATGGATAAAAAAAGGTTGAGATCCACTGAACTAGACTGACCGTGATCCGTTGTGTCACTGACGGGTCAGGTTATAAATCTTTGGAGTTGATTTCAACATTCGATTGAAATGAAAGTTAGTTTTATTATGATTCAGTTAATTATTTAGATTCGTTCTTGCCATCAATGATCTGGTTTACAAGTGCATTTTTATCGTTTTACTGATTGTTTACAGCATTTAATAAGAATAGAACTTCCGGTATAAACTTGAACTTTAAATCAGATTAACTTATAAATATTTTTTAATATAGCAAAAATATTTTAAAATCATATTCACTTGAAAATAATTTTTAAATATTCCAAAAATATTTTTTTTTAAATATTTACAATATTGTTTGTTTTAAGAAAGCTGAAATATAAATAATTACTCTACAAGCAACTAGACGAAACAGCAAAGCGGGATTTCTTTGTGTCTGTCTTAAACTTAAAAATAATTTCATTTAAAAATATTTCTGTTTGAAGAAAGTTAAAAAAAATATTTACTGTACAAACAACTTGTATTTTTAAATCTTATTCACATTAAATATTTTTTTACAGCAGGTTAACTTAAAAATATTTTTTTTTTTTTTAAATATTTAAAATATCGTTTGTTTAAAGCTGAAACAACTGGACGAAACAGCAAATCGTGATCTCTTTGTGTCTGTCTTTAAGTGAAAAATATTTCAATAAAAAAAATCTGTTTGAAGAAAGTTAAAATAAAGAATACTTACTGTATAAACAACTCGTATTTTTCAATCTTATTCACTTGAAATATTTTTTAAATCAGATTAACTACAAAATGTTTTTTCAAATATTTAAAATATTGTTTGTTTAAAGAAAGCTGAAATACAAATACTTACTCTACAAACAACTGGACGAAACAGCAAAGCGGGATCTCTTTGTGTCTGTCTTTTACTTAGAAATATTTTAATTAAAAAAATTGTTGGTTTGAAGGAAGTTAGACTAAAAATACTTACTGTATAAACAACTCTTATTTTTAAATCTTATTCACTTAAATCAGATTAACTTAAATCATAAACATCGGACGGACGACGCACCACGCAAGCTCCAATCACAGACTTTTAGTATTATGAAGAATGATCAGAGAACCAAATTGTAAATTCATTGTGTCTGGTGGTAATTCGGAGTCTCATCAGCGATGATGGAATATAATTTGTTTTGTTTCCAGGAATTTAATGTAAACAGACAATTGAAAAATGTACTTACGAGCGACGTGTTCCACCAGTTTAGACTTTCACAACGCGGGCCCGTCATGCAACAAACACTGGGGCTAACCCTCCTCCTATCCATATCTTCGTCTTCCATTGTTAAGAAGGAAGTTTCATTCGGACTGTTTCTTCTCAAGAGCCGCTATTGTATGAAACAGACTCCCATGAGTATGCGATATGTCCCGGAAAGGGATATATTTGATCGAAGTAGCTAAGTAGTTTGGGCTCCTGTAACGAAGTAGTACACGGTAGCAGTAATCGACTGCTACTCGTCGTAGTCGCAGATAATAGGTGCAGACCAATAGGATAACCAATGGCGTAGTCCAATGGGCGTCGTCATAGTCTTAAACTCTGTCGTACCTACACGTCCGTCTGTATTTATGACGGACACCAGCCAACCATATTCTAGTGAGGGGGGACTCAGGTGTACGCATATTCCATTATATCAGAATGTTTCCCCGATTACTATCATCATAAACTCTTCTAGGTTAGAATCAAACCTTATCTATCATACTTATCCTCTTAATCTGCATTTACTCCCCTCCTTCCCTCCATACAACGACCTCATTTAGTAACCCTCTGTCTTGGGTGCCCCTTGGGCCTTGTAAATGTTGAACATTTAATAATAAAAAGAACTTTTGATAGTATAAGGATTTTTTTGGAGATAAAATTACAATCTGGAACATAATTAAACAGAAATGCAAGACTGACCGTTCGGGAGAAAGGGATAAATGTCCACACATTTAAATAGCTCTAAATTCTAACACTAAACTCGTACTAATAATTAAGGACACATGGCACAGTGGATAAAGGCGTTGGTTAGATTCAGTGACAGGACCCAAAGAGTGTGAGTTCAATACCCGGTTAAGGCAGTGGAGAACTTGGAGAGGGGAATTAACAGGAGATAACTGATAAGTGACATCCATTAGACATAGCACCTGGAACTAGAATAGTCTACCCCAGCGAGCGAAATAAAGTGTTCAGTTCGACATTCCAACCACCTGAAGAAGGCCGGAGCGTACAACGGCCGAAACGTTATAATAAATATGGCGACAAAGATGAGGACAATAGTCTGAATAATGAAAATATTTTCCATTTTTTTAAGCGTTCTAATTTTAGAATGATGGACATTAGCTTTTTGGGAGAAATAAAACAAGAACCCCAGCACTATTTTGCTGTCGTAATATTATTTTTTTTGTTCCATTTTAGAAATGTCTTTGATTGTCTTCCATTTTCTCAAATTGATTTGTTCTTAACTTTTTCCCTTTTTGTAAATTCCTGTAATTCTCTTACCTCCGCCAATCTTTTTTCAAGATTCTTTTACTGATTTTGTTTTCTTTCCTTTCCTTCACGGTATATTTTTTCATTCTTTTTCTTCTTCTCACAGTTCCATTGTTTTATTTTCTCTGTTTTTATTTTTGTTTTTTTTTTTTTATTGGTAATTTTTGCTCTTTTAAAAGCAAACCTGAAATAAGTCCGTCTCATAATCAGGATTTCTTTTTCATAGTTTCTTCTTCGAAGTTTCGAAATTGGAATTGGTTTTTTACAGTTTCATAGACAGGAATTTAGTTGCTGGGTTTTTAGTCTTTATGTTGATAAAGAAATATTCAGTCCCGTGTATGTTAAGAAAGAAAGAAAGAAAGAAAGAAAGAAAGAAAGAAAGAAAGAAAGAAAGAAGAAAGGAATGAAGAAATAAAACAAAGAAATAAAGAAAGAAAATGAAAAAGGAAAAGAAAAAGGGGGAACAAACAAAAGAAAGACAGAAAGAAGGAAAGAAAGAAAGAAAGAAAGAATAAACCAAAGAAATAATGGTAGAAAATTAAAAGGAACAGAAAGACGGAACAAAAGAAATAAAGAAAGAAAATGAAAAAGGAAAAGAAGGAAAGAATAAACAAAAGAAGAAAAGTAAGAAAGAAAATGAAGAAATAAACAAAAGCAATAAAGAGAGAAAAATAAAAAGAAAGAAGTAACGAATAAAAAGAAAAAAGTGGGAATAAACGAAAGAAAGAAACCAATGAAAGAAAGAAAACCAAGGAATAAATAAAAAAGAAAGAAAGAAAGAAAATGAAAAAGGAAAAGAACGAAAGAATAAGCAAAAGAAAGAAAGAAAGAAAGAAGGAAAGAAAGAAAGAAAGAAAGAAAGTAAGAAAGAAAGAAAACGAATGAATAAACAAAAGAAAGAAAGAAAATGTAAAAAGAAAAGAAAGAGGGAATAAACAAAATGAAGATATAAACATAAGAAATAAAGGTGAATGCGCAAAAAGAAAGAAAGAATAGAAAAAGAGAAAGAAAAAGAAGAATTGAGAGAAAAATCAAAAAAGAAAGAAAGAAACTTAAAACAATTATAAAAAAATATAAAAATCCAAACAAAAAATAATGAAAAGGTGAAAAACGAAAAGCATAAAATTTGAAGAAGAAAACGAAAGGAAGAAAAAGAGGCTGAAATAATAAAAGGAAGAAAAAGAGGCTGAAATAATGAAAGGAAGAAAAAGAGGCTGAAATAATGAAAGATAGGAGGAGAGGAAATGTACATTACGTATATCGATCCTTCAAAAAAATCAGTTTTCTAATATGAACACGTCTAAAATAATGACAAAATAAGTGAATGCTAAATAAAAAAATAAAAAAATTAGTTAAAAAATAAACTAAATCTCTTCTTTCTTCCCTTTGCTTTTGATCTTTTCATTTCTTCAAGAAAGGTTTTTTTTTTCAAAGACCGTTCCAAAAGCAACCAGCAAAAGAACAATTTGTTTCTTACTTTTTTGCATTAGTACCTTACCACCTACAAAATCCTTGCAGATTTTCTGTTTCTTATATTCTTTCAGTGTATGTGCGTATGTGTGCGTGTGTTTTCCGTGCGTACTGTGAGACTGAAGGCTTCCATTCCATTGAACAGCCGCCATGCTTTACCTCTTGTGAAGCTAACAATTCACCACGTACCTCAACCTACCTCAACCTACGTTTTCAGATTGTAAGTTGGTTTGCGATTCACAATATTAATTTGGTTGATATACAGGAAGTCATTGCAAATATGTGAATAGTTTCCAAACTTAAAAATGTTCTCATTATATTTACTATTATAAACCAAGGTAGGGTTTGTCACTTAAAATACACAGCCGCCTGTATTTGCCCGATGCCCAAAGATGTCACCAATATTCTGGATAACCGTTCTCCGATGGAATCGTCCATATCTATCGAAATTTATCTTGGCTTTATTTTGTAGATATATTATCTGAAGCCATCATTATCCACCTTCGGGTGACAGAGTTCTGAATCCAGAAATGTCTTTCTC